ATAATGGCTGAGGAGAGGCTGAAATCAATGTGTCCATCGATAAACATTTAAATCAAATAGAAACTAAGGTTTTATATGTTAAACATGATTGTGTCCTGACAGTAAAATGTTTTTACACAACAAAATGTAATTATAATATGATTTGTGAATATTTAAAACTAATGACGTTTATTTTTTTCTAATCACGTGAATTTTGTTTGTCTCAGTTGATCGTGATTGAAACTGTAGAATTGCTTTATTTAACAAAAAGTGCTCATGTAAACAACAATGAATCTAATAAGAAAACTATTTTTTTATTTTCTTACAGTGTTATTAGTGCATTACTGTAAAATACCTGTCAGTCGGTTGCGGAGGGATTACAGATTCCCATCGACTAACTTAGTTCTTGATTTGGACATGTGCACAGTTTCATCTATTCATGTGTGCATGAAAACATTTTCAGCTAGATTTGTATTCACGTCAGATTTGGTTCCAGCCCAAGACACAAAATGTTTCGTATATATACAACACAATGAAACTTTAAAATGATCTCTACTAGAGAAGTTATTCACATTATCAATGATTTGTGTCATTAATGGCAAAATTTATTTCTGTCTAATGGAAAAACCAATATAACAATAATATACTGTTCATGCATTAGGTATAGAAGCTAAACTTTGTGTATTTTACCTGGTGATGTTTACTGTCCGGCTTCTCCTCCTCCTGGTAATGCAGTTACAGCTCCTGCATTGTGTCCTCTCATGGTTTTTACATTAACAAAGTGGAATTTCAGTATTAAGCATGTTATTCTCATTCCATGTGACGGTTTGATCTGTGTTGATGAATAGTCTGCTTCAGACTCCAACCAGACGAGAGGAAAGAGTTTGTCCTTCTCACTAAATGTTAAGTGAAGTTGAAGCACATTTCAGTTCAGACACAGAAAAAGTGAATAAACACATTGAACCAAAGGATTTTTTCTATTGCACATAGAAAATCTCAGGAATTAATTTAAAACTGAGACATGCACATGTTTAAATAAAGTGGAACACATCTTGTTGTGTTGCTTTGGAAGCTCTCAGAAAAAAAGTGAGCATTTAATGACGTTGATTTTCCTCACTGTCGCCCGACTCAGTGTTCACCCTGCAGTCACATTATAAATCAGTAATATTATTCACAACTGTCAAACTAACTCGTCAGCAAAGCACCAAACTCTCGATGCACCCAGTGGCATCATTTGTTCCAGAAACAATTGTTCTGCACCATCATCCTCACAGTTCACTGGAGCAGTGACTGGAATCTGAGCTCTGTTTGTCTGTAAAATCATCTGGGTTGACTTCAGACACACTTCATCTTTTAACAAACCATTCACAACCCAGACGACCTGAGTCCGAGCCTCTTCATCCTGCCTTGGTTTCCTTGTGCAAAAATAGTGAATCTCTTGCAGTTTTGAGGCTGCTGCTATAAAGGTTTGACCTCTGACCTCCCTGAAGGGGGTCTAAGTGAAAAGAGAATTTTCCCACTGGGACCAATAATGTGTCACATTATAACTGTTATCACTGTTCCTGACATTTCTACGCAACGTGTTAACGTCACCTACGAAGGTTGATGAGGTTTGATGAGTATCTGAAAACACTGGTTCCTATTTTTGTGAGTTCTCTGCATCAAATATACATTAAAATAATTTTCAACTGAGACATTTTAAATCTCAAACTGGAAACATATATTAGAATCATTTAGAATCCACTCAGATTCACTTAGAATGTTGTTGTTTCTTACTTTGCGAAAATATTTAGGAGATACATTATCATTAAAAGTGATTAAACTTTCACTGGGTCATTGAGATCACCTGTCTTTGTGAAGGTGTCTTTATCAGTCGTTCTTGCATTTCATCAGTTAATGCAGTTCATTTGTGCAGTGAGCATCACACACACAACATTTAAATTAATGATGAATTATATTATAAAATAGTGCCATCAATTAAAGTCTTACTAAAGCCTACGTACTGTGCTCTAAAAAACATTTCTACTGTGACTGGTACAAACACCCCCTCCCTCAAAGATCCGAGTATAATCTACTCAGGAAAATTTACAATAAACAGGACAATCAATCTTAGATATTATATGACTCTATAAAATCAGCTTAATGTCTCCATACAACTGTTTGATTATTAATGGACAAACGACCTGATTATCACAAATTATTGCCCAAATTACAAAACGAGAGAACTTGAATGACAATTAAATGCTATTAAATATTCTGAGAAATTTAAAACAATTAATTGCATCTGTCAGATTTAGCAAGAAAATGAGGGGATTCTCTTGCTCGTCTATTTTGTGCAACAGATGTGACGAGACAAAATAATTAAAAAGTATATTGTTATATAAATAAAAGATGCAAATAAAATAACTGCATAAAAAAAACTATTATTAAAGCTGCAATACTCTGCAGCAGACAGGTGGATACGTGTAGTTTCTTTATTCATGTAAAATCGTTTTATTATTTGATGCCTTTATTTTAATGCAAATAATTCCTGTAAGATTCACTTTAACGGGACAAAGGTGCATTAGATGCATTTATGGTGCAGATATAATTATAATGACATTAATAATAACTCTCTCTCACTCTGATATTTCGGCCCGGGACAATATTAATTCAATAAAAAACAGATCTCAGGTCAGAACAGCTCAGTTCGTATAAACCTGTTGTTGGTTGTTTACACTGAATGTGATCATTAGGACGCCAGGACTCCGCTTCTCTCCTGATTTCTTCACAACCTTCATCCCGAGGCGGAGTGGGATTAACTTCCTTTCTAAAAAAAAACTCAACACTTGACGTTTAATACCCGCAACATCCTCACCTCGTGCTGAACTGACTAAACAGTTTGTGCGAGAAACCACGACGTGTTCGCACCTGTCTAACTGTATATGCTGCGTTTAGAGGCCCATGACTCCAATAAACCAGCCGGCATGGAACAATCTAATCGGCGTTTATAACCACTGCGGCTCGTTGGAAACGTTCTTCTCACACCGTTGAACAGCCTCCCCCTTCCCCTGCATGTGCACAGGTGGCGCACTCACAATGCGCACAATCCAGGGGTTCTAGAAACAAGGCAAAGTGCGAGGAGACGAGTTTTTTTGATGCAGAGACCAGATATTCTCACCAGCTGCTGATATAAAGCCCGAGTGGACCCGTGCGCACCGAGGCTCTCCTTAATTACAAAGCGTCCATGCGAGACGTGCGTAATTGACCTTCAAGCGTCAGGAGATTAAACAACAAGATCCTCTCGCGTTGACAACCAGGAGCGAGACAGTTCACCCACTGTGTGGACTTTTCATATTTGCACTCCCATTAGAGCCGCCTGATCGCATAAGATCATTTATTATTATTGCGCTGTTTCACGTGTAACAGAAAAAAGTCTTCCACCCATTCGGATGAGAAAACACCGTCCAGTGGAGTGAAGAGCAGACACGACATATAGGCCCATATTAGAAGTCTTCATCGTTGTAAATTATAGGTTATAATTCTGCCCATTTGCTATTTTCTCCAAACAATCAGGTCATACGAAACATCAGCTGTGAAATGAATAAACTGCACATTAAATAAAGGCAGAGTTGAGGCATAAAATAGCTCCTGATAAGAAGATACTGCAGAGTCAAAGCGCACAGCTCCACCTCCCTGTGGCCTTTAAGAGGGGGGTGAAGGTGGGAGGTGTGTGTGCGTGTGTTTGTGTACGTCTGTGTGTGTGTACGGGTTTTCACACAGAGCGTCTTCCTTCAACGCTAGGTTTTTTTTTCTGTCCTTGTCAAACTCTACGACACTTTGGTTCTCCTCAGCCGAGCGCACAGAGACAAAGTGTCATCACCTCAACGTCAAAGTTGGAAACTTTTGGATTTCGCCCACACGCTCCACATGCTTCTGTCACTTGTTCTTACAAAGTGAGTGTCAACATTTGTCTTTTTTTTTTTTTGACTTGGCTGAACTTTGACCTTTGGTCACAATCATCGTTTCAACCCCCCCATGTCTATGAATAACAGTTGAATGCAGAAACGCAACAATTCAACGAGTATTTAAAAGAGACCAAAAACTAACTCAAGTAAATTCCTTACATTTTAAAAGGTCGTAATTACTGCAGCACATTTCCATTTTAACTACAAGTGCCAAGGACGCAGGCCTGCAAACGACTCGTGGGGAATGAGGGGAAACAGATAGTTATCCTCCTTCACGACCTCACTTGCAGCATTTATGATTAGACTGCAGATAAGCCCGGGATATGGAGCCGTGCATGCCGGCAGTCTGCCCACACATAAAGCACAATATCCCCTTTCTTAGCTGGCACATGTGTCAAAGGCGAAGAGCTCCTGAGTTTTTTTCCTCATGCACATATACACATTTCCCTGTTAGCAACTGGTGGTTCAATGCACAATCGGAAGCCAGAGGAAACAATGTTTGTGAATCAGCCACAGCTCAGAACTATCGTGGAAATTGAATTATATTAAATGTACAAGTTATTCACAAAAGTGCAAAGGAATATTTTTGAAAAGGCATCTCACATCATCCAGTAAACACACCTCCTGTGCTCTGTAAAGATTATTTTTGCAGCTGATCTGAAAAAGAGGAAAAAGAGGAATATTTGCTTTGTTCGAATATTACTTTAAAATGCCACCCATAGCTTGATTGATTTAAAAATATATAACAGGCAACATAAATATAGAAAGTGACTGGTTTGCAGCACAAATATGTCATGAATCATCCAGAACCAAAAGAAACCCTCGATTTTAATCCATGGAGTTCTTTTTCTTTTTATTGTAAAGGGTAGATATGAAACTATACGTGAATCGTTTTATGTTTTCATCATTTATCGCAAACTTTACATGCAGTCTCTTTCCAAAAATGAAAAATGCAAATAATAATATTAATATCAAGAGATTAAGATATTGCATCTTATCACGACTCTTAAAAGACACTTGAGATATCATACTCCATCATCCCCCCCCCCATCCCACCCACTCGAAAATAAAAGGTTTTATGGCTCTGTTGGAAAAACCCTGTGTAAACAAAATAAAATAAAAAGCGATGGGTACCTTAACTCTGTGCCTATAGAGTCTGTGGATACATCTAAACCCCTAAAATAACAACGGTAATAATAATAATAACAAGAATTAAGACATTTTATTGTTATTGTTTTCAACAGTATAACATGTTGCGTTATTATTACATTCCGGTAAAATACTTTTTTATTTTTCTTCTTTCTTTCTTGACTTTTTATTTTTATATTTCATTTTTTTTAAGTTTTTTTATTTATTTATTTTTTTTACCTAAAACGACCTTAATTCCACTTCATCGTTTGTTTGCACCACCACTGCTTAAAAATGCTCCGTCCTAACAAGTCACATGATCTCAAAGAAATTCATCTTTGGAGCTGCATATTCTGCATGACGGGCCAATGAAAGTGAAAACATGGCGATTGATATTTATTAATTCTGAAGACTTTGTTTAAGTGCTCTGCTTGGACGCTTGTTTCTGGAAAATCCTTGAAACAAGCAGAAGTTATATTTAGGGGATAATTCCCCCCCACTTGTATAAAAACGAGTCTAACTGTTGAAAATGAGACTAAATGACTTGTTACGGTGGCTGGATTCACCACCGTACCTTTCCGCAAGTGGTTGGAGCTCGTCTTACGCCACCTTCAAGGCTGAATTACTTTTCCAAAAAAACGAAAAAAAGGTCTGGAGTTTATTCAAGTGCGCGGTTTTAAGAGCCAAGGTCCACTAGATTAGAAGACATAGAGTTCAGTATGGTGTCGTGGTGCAAGGAGTGGTGGTGGTGCACCGAGTCTACGCCGCTCGGTACCGGGATGGCGCTGGGTCCCGGCGGCGGCGCGAGGCCGTGCAAGGACTGTAAACCGGTGTTCGAGCTGAGGAGCAGGGCCGGGCTCTGAGACGTGTGGTCCGGCGTCCCCGATGGTGTTTTATCGTCGTCCGAGCTCCCCAATAGAGTCTTATTTCCATTCATGGAAGAAGTCAATGGGTTGTGACTATTGCCGTTGGAGTTCTCGTTGTTTTCTCTGCGAGTAGAAAATAAAAGCACACGTTATTCTGATGCGAATGGGTGCAGCCCAACTCCTGGAACATATCATTCACCAGGAAACAAGGAAGATACAACTTTTAAAATAATAGGCTAAAACTAGCTAAACTGATTGAAATAAACTAGACAATTTACACACAATTTACATAAAGGTTTTTAAGTAAAGTCATTTAATACAAGCCATAATTCTTAAAATACACACACACAGCAAAAATACAGTTCTGCATGTCCCTTTACGCACGGGGATTTTAATTAGGTAACCACACTAGAGCATAATGCGCGTAAAAGTACCATAAACGCTCAGTCTAACGATTTATCAACGTTCACACCCTCATGTACGAAGGTGCTATCAATTAGTCAGTCATTGGAATAATGGAGGCCATCGCTCAGTTGACTGCAGCAGTTCAGAGTTACAGTAAATGTCTAGATAAGTGTGACCGAAAACAATAAATCTGTTTGTGCGTTAAAGCTGCGTTTGGGTTCGTGTTTACAGCAAATTAATTAAACCAGCGTGACCCCTGACGCAGACACTGGCTCCGGCCTCTCTGACGTCTGATTAAATGACAGGCCTAATTGTTGCTAAACGCGTGCATGTTGCATGGCGCATGCACTTAATGTGTTCGCAGTGGCGAGTAAGGCATTTCTCAGTGGGAAGACATGATTTACGCGGAGCTTTCAGCCCGAATTAGTGGCCAGAGGGTGAAAGAAGACACCGAACACGTCTCCCAGACCCCTCTGCGCCTCACCTGTGTAATTTCCAAAACTTTGAAATGTACAAACGACTCAAAATGAAATGTCAACCGGGCTGATGTGGAGGATACATTTAGCTCTGCACACGAATTTCACCGCAAAACAACTTTTAAACGTGTTCTGAGATGTTTCCTCACTTTTCTCCCCTGTGTTCACTCCAGTATCAGGAAGCTTAAAAGTTTTTTTTTCTCTGATCTTGACGTGAAAGTCATAGTCTCATAATAAGTGTGATTACCGAAACATAAAAGTGAGGTAAATGCTGCTTTTATAACCTTGTAATTTGCCTCTCAGCAACCCTTTAATTTTTTTTTGCATTTCAACTTTTACGCACGGCCTGCACAATTATCACAAACATATTAAAGTTTGCTGAACTTTAAAGTATAACAAATATTTTAGCTTATGACAAAAAAAAATCTTCAAATAGATACAAATACCTAAGAACTGGTGTGATTATTAAATTACAGAAAATATCGTGGCATAATAAATTGCTATAATTTAACAGTGCCTGTTTGTGATTTAGAAACATTTCAATTTAAAGTTGGACTCTTGGCTTTTTAAGCTTGAAGTCATAGTAATAATAAGAACTTGGTAAACATGGTCTGACTAATGTCTGAAGTGTTTATTTGATCCTACCTTTCCTTTGCCTCCGCAGCTCGGTCTCTCTGTCGTCGGTTTTTGAACCAGTTGCTGACCTGCGTCGTGGTGAGTCCCGTGGCCTCGGCCAGCTCTCTCTTTTCCCGCGGAGACGGATAAGGGTTGTGGGTGTACCACTCTCGCAGGACGCTCCTGCTCTTCTCCTTGAAGCAGTAGCTCGTCTCCTCTCCGTCCCAGATGGAGCGGGGCAGCGGGAACTTTCTCCGGACGCGGTACTTCCCCACGGCGCCGAGCGGACGGCCTCTCAGCTTCTCTGCCTCGATGTAATGCGCCTTGAGCCACAGCTGCTGCAGCTTCGGATGGTTGTGAGGCGAAAACTGGTGGCTCTCCAAAATCTTGTAGAGCTCTCGGAAGTTCCCCCGGTGAAAGGCGACCACGGCTTTCGCCTTGAGCACGCTTTCGTTTTTGTGAAGGTGCTCGCACGCCGGGAGGGACCAGAGGAAGCGTCCCAGCCGCTCGATGTTCCCCCCTTGCTGGAGAACTTCGCACACACACGCCACTTGCTCCTGCGTAAACCCAAACGTCGGGAGCATGGACATGGCGACAACGTAAACCAAAGCAGATTAGATTGTGCCTTGCTTCCACGTCTCCCTCCTCAGTCTCACATTAAATCAAAACGCGTTAAGTCCATAAGAGACAAAAGGTTCCCCAAAAAAGAGCAGCCGAAAACTTCAGCTGACCAGGGACAGGTAGTATCCAGCTGCGTGCTGAGGAACAAACTCAAGTCCATTCAGCCGTGCTAAACCCCAGGCGACGACTCCTCAGAAAGCTGGTGAGAAAGAGAGAAAGTTGCGACTCCGTCCACCGTCCTCCTCCACCTTTTCTACGCCGTTTCAAAATAACCTACTCCGGGAGACCGGGCTCGCTGGCTCGTTTTAATAATATTATTCTAAGCTGGCAAGACAGGCGATTATGTGAACTCTGATTGGTCGGTTATTTGACCCGGGGATGGTGAGGATAAGACAATAGCCTTAGTCAAATTATTTGCCATGGTTACGCTGTCACTCAAAGTAACCTGATATGCTTTGAGGTGGCTCCCTGGCAAAGTCAACCCAATTGTTCCCTTCACGAGCGGCCCGCCTACCAATAGAAATATTGCTCAGATTTTTCTTCTCAAACTGTTTTTTCTCTCTCTCTCTCTCCCCCCCCCTCCACCTTGACAGACACCTCGGGCAGCCAAAGAGCGCAGAGCTGGAGGAGTGAGGCGAAGGAGAGAGGCGCTGATCCCGCAGCCGGGGGAAGGATGGCGCCAGAGCGCACAGAGACCTGCGGCTGCTGTGCGTCCTCATGCCTCTGGCAGCTCTCACACAGTCGATCAATCAACGCCTGCAACTTTTAAAGTTAGTTACGTTCATAGTTCGAGTGACTGTAAACTGTTGACAAGTGTTGCAGCTTCTACAGAAAAGGAAAATAGCTGCTTTTGGTCTTTGCCATGACGCACGAAATAAAAAAAAGAAATACCAAAAGAAATTCTGCAAATTCTACAGGAGAGGCCATTTTCTCACATCAAACATATTTAGAGAAAGTTTATTTGACTTCACGTTTTTGTTTTGTTAAACTTTTTCAAGTTTTCAACGGTGGATCAATGAAGATGCATCGTATTTTATTATGAGTGATAAGAAATAGATTCACACACATTATTAAAATACACTGCATGGCACTAAATGTGACCAACATTATATAATTAGTGTGTACAGCTATGATTGTGCGATACATTACTCGCATGTGATCTTAAATTATATCTGTTGACTGGATTAAGGATTCGATATAATAAATATAATAAATATTATTTTCAGGATTGTGTAGATATGTTGATCTGCAGTTGATTAGAACAATTCACTGCCGTGTAGAGGTTTATTATTTCATGCATGTGACATGACGATGAATATCTGAGGGGTGAGCCAGTGGCTGCAGGAGCGCACAGAATGGCAAACAATCTTAAGGTGTGCCACCGGACTAATGGTGAAATCAAGAGTTCGTGCGCGCTGCAGGAGTTTGTTGGACAGAGCGCGCAGGAGGAGCGCGCAGTGCGGAGGTAGAAGTGGGGGAAGAAGGAAAGCGGCACCGAGCACAACACCGGCGGTGGGACCAGAAAATTCCGTTTGCATTGAAGTCATCGGGACTGACGCGCTTTAGTGCAACAGCGGAGGAAGATGAAGCCAGAGAGCATCAGAATCACACGCTGGATTAGAGGAGAAGATTTGAAGACGAGCTCTGGGTAATTATTTCAATCTGATGGATGTGAGGATTTGGGGGGAAATGGATTTTGTTATAGAGGTGGATGAATGAGGAGGATTTACTTGTTGAATGGATGAGTTTTGCTCTCCACACTGCAGCAGGTATTAGACGGTGCCGTGATGTGGTCAGGTATATGTGTGTGGGGGGTGGGGGTGTTGGGCCAGAGATTGACCAGCTGGTAGATTTCTATCACTTACACCATGGGACCTCTTCACTAGAGATAAGATTGTCTATGTACATCCACACCACTACACACACACACACACACACACACACGCACACACACACACACACACACTGAAAGACCTGTTTCAGCTATGGACACAAAAAGTTCAAGTAGAATCCACGTCAGATAGAAAATGAACTGTGTGCAAAAAATGAAATTATTATTATTATTACTGTTACTATTACTGTGCGTAATTTGACACCTACACACACACAACTTAATTTAATATTTAGAAAATAATAATAAGTTGTAGATAAATATCATCAGTGCATCTCAAGTTCCAGGGCTGTTTAAATAATTCGAGTTTAATCAAATCTTTGACTGCAGTGTTCTGCGGCTGTTTGGGCCTGATGATGAGCAGACATTTCATCTGAGCTGCGGCTGTTTTGCTCTGAATTATTAGTGTAATTATGAAGTGAGTTTATCACAGGGAGATGAGGAGCGGTGTAAGTGGAGCCTGATCCCTGTTTCCGTGTTGTGTTCCCCCCTCGGTTTAATAAATTGACTAGGGTTTCGCCTGAAGCGCAGTTCTCACAGAGTATTACGGCATTAGACTGACTGATGGTAATCGTCCGGGGACCCGGGGCTCGGTGGAAATTGATAGTGAGGAAAACAAGGCTAGGATTTAACCTTAAATTACACATACAGTTCATATATGTAATATTCAAACGGGAAAAAACCCTCAGAAAAAACACATTAATAATAAAATTAGTGACAAAACAATAATAATTATAACTCCTCATAATAATGTAACAGATGTGTTTTAACAGAGCCTGTATTGGAAATATGAGCAGTCTGTCAACACAGATGTGACATTTTAAACTGATTTAAAAAATAACTTATCACCTCCATCCATCAAACTCCTGAAGGCCTCACCACCGAGCCCAGAAACAGAGACTGAGCCACTCAAAGTTATTTATCGTCTCATTAGGTTTCACATCAAAAGCCTTGGTGCTGTATGATCTGTCATCAAATGATAGTGCTGAACATTTCCGAGGCTCTTATTCTGCAGCAAACGTGTTTATTTATTTAGCTTTTTATATATTAAGTTCTTTACTCATGCTGTGTGTCCTGTGCCAGGGACGTGCACAGACATTTCAAGGGGCCACTGCTCTTATCTGGGAAAAAAGGAACACCCCCACCCACCCTAAGTTTAGATAAATGGGCTCCATATCTAGTTTTAGCAGAAATATGATTTTGCGCCTTGAGCTTAACACTGTCATCTATCTGCAAACCACAAAATTAAAACTTTGAAAATAAACTCTTAATAATTAAATTCAGAGTTGACATTGTGTACATCGTGTAAAGCAAAAGAAAATGACCGGATGCTGCTGAAGGGCAGCTCAGTCAAAAAGGGGAAACTTGTATAAAAACGAGTATAAAGAAGAGAAGGAGCTTCAGACGAGGCCATTAGGGCTCTACTTACATATCATTCTGATTAGATGATGCATACGAGCATGGATAGAAAAACGGGGTTGATAGTGTTGGTATAACAGGTCTGTAATGTAATGTAGGTATAACAGGTCTGTAATGTAATGTAGGTATAACAGGTATCCAGCCCTGAAGGATAAAATCAAAGCAGATGAATACTGAAAGGTAAAGTCTGTTTTTTTTTAAATAATAAAAAGTTTCAGGTGATCCCTGTCCTCTCCCACTCATCATGGGTTAATATCTGTTCTCTCCCCGGGATAAACTTCACTTTTCTAAATATTTGATAAACTGGATCTGAACACATTCCATATTGAAACAAAGCAGAAACACAAAGTAATTAAAATGTGAAAGTAAAAGCATCTTCATTGTGTTTTGGCTCTTAATGGTCTGATCTGCTGAGCGTGTGCCCCGGCAGTGATGCAGCAGGGTCCAGCGTCAGGCCCTTGACAGTGTTTGTAAACGACTTGTTTCCACCGATCAGTTTGATCAGAAGGCTCTGGCTCTCAAACTGTGATTATTACGCCCGCTGATGAATGGAGATCACGTTTCCCCTAATAGCCAACCCCCCTATTTTCACAACCTCCCACCGCTCACCTCGGCCACTCTCTACCACGACCTCCACTAATTGAGCTGATTATTGCAAGATGTGTGTTGTTGCAGAGCCTATACGTGTTGGGGTGGGGGTTTACATGTGAGGAGGGTTCACATGTAAGGCTTCTACAAGCACTGACCTGAGACCAGCGCAACAAGGGGTTGATGAGTAACATTCTTGCAGACGGACATGGGCATAGAGGGAGAAATTATTAAAGCCAGAACCTCTGTGTCTATATCGGTTAAGGGGATATGAATGAGGGTCTATCCAATAATTGGTTGTTTACATCTATCTTGTTACCCCAGAGGCCGGGGCTATCCTACGGAGCGAGGAGGAGATTTCACTAAACTGCACATGCAGGCAGCAGGGAGGGGAGGCGGGGGAGGGAGGGAGGGCCTTGGTTGTGGGTGTGTGTGTGTAGGTGGAGGTCTCGTCTTGATTTCCAGAAGGCTCTGACCAGTCGGCAGGTTCATCAGATTGGATGGTTTTCATTTCAGTCTAGAATATATGGGCACAGAGCGCAGCGTGGGGGGGATGATCATCATGGGGCAAATTACAGGCCTCTGTATTGAGTTTGATCCTGGAGATGTTAAAGTGACACGAATGAATGAATGAATGATATTGTGCTGAAATGCTGATCTGATGCACAAAGACTCAAACTGAGATTGTGTTTTTTACTTATATTCAAGCAAATGTGTAGGAAAAACAATGTCAGCTCAATTCTAACGATATAAACTTTCTCCTGAAACCACAAAAAATTGAAGATTAATTAATGCTCAGATTAATATATGAGGACAATCACCTGTCAAACATCTGCAGAATAAGTTGATAAAAAACTGATTGATTGAACTGGCAGTTGAGCTGTTTTCATCCAATTTATTATGATCTGATCATTTTCTAGAGTGAAGAGAACTAATTAAAAGTCCTGTACGACGCTGTCTGTTCTCACATGCAGTCACATCTGTCACCCAGTATTAAAAAACAACCAACAATCCACTGCCCACCCACCACCACCACACTGCTGCGGAAGAAACTGGCCTGAACGAGCAAACAGCAACAAGTGTCTGTGTTTCTCTACAAGGCCGATCATTGGACCTAATGAGTGTGTGAGTGTGTGAGAGACAGAGAGGGAGAGAGAGGGAGAGAGAGTGAGAGAGAGGAGTGTGGCTTGCTGCTGGGGTTAATTTATTCGATCAATCACTCCATTTGATTCCTGTTTATTTTCAGGAGTCACACGGTCATTTCAGCCGCACACTGAGCCCTTTATGCGCTGCCAAGGCGTTTCCCCCTCAGCCACTGAGACTGTATACCATAGCACGCGTTCGGCTACAATTTGCAGAGGAGAGCGGTTCCAGCACTTCTCAGATATTTCACGGCTCCTAACCTTT